AGTAGTGTTTGGTGTTTTGGCTAAAATTGGGGTGATCTTTTCTGCAACCCAAAGTTGTGATGTCATGGTTGATACTCTCTGTGAACTTGTAATACAAGTATGTTGATTGGGGATTTGGTTAACCCTAACAGTACTTCCATCAGGTTGCAGTCTAGCAGATATGTACCACTTGCAAGGCTTCACACTACCATCAAATCCTCTGCACCTCGCATAAAACTTCTTTCTATCAGTCCAAACAGTCTTGGCATCAAACTCATGTTTCACTGCATAAGTTTTGAAACACATCCTAAACTCCTTCATGCTTGGGAACAACTTGCCTACTTCAATGACAGGGTTTTCTTTGTCATACACATGCACCAGGTCATCATCATGTGCATCATCTACTTCATCTGCAGCTTGTTCCATCAACTGTCCATCTACTTCTTCATCAGCATTGGCAGGCAAACTAGATTCACCCCTCTCCTGCTTATCTCTGTCATCGACTGGAATGCCAAAAAGTTTGGCCATCTCAATGTCAGGCATTGGTGCAATGACCAAATCAGTAGGCTCATCTAATTCAACTACATTCCAATCAACAGTTGCTGCAATTTCAGTTTCAGTTCCAGTCACATGTCCCTCTTCGGCTATTACTGTAAGTTCAGTACACATGGGAATCAATGGCCTCTGTGTAGCCCAATCATCATCTACCATCTGCGCAGCCAATTGTGATGGCACATATCCAACCTTCGAAAAAATGTTCAGATCAACGAGCTCAGCACAAAAATTAGCCCATTTGCTTGTCCAGCCGTTTTGCCGATCGATTTCTTCAACAATCTGTTCACCATCTTCTATTCTCACATACTCTCCTTTCCAATCATCAAACCTCAACAGTGATACTTCTTGCTCTGGACCCCAAACAACATTCTCCCCAATTTTCTCCACCCATTTCTTCACTGCCGTCTCTCCCATGTTCTATAGAACTTGTGGATCAATCTCTATAAATTCAACCTCCCATTTAACAATTGTGTCTCTCTCAATGTTCTGTATGCTACCATCAACTAATTTTGCCTTTGATGGAAAGAAATTAACTGTCAATTTGAAGGTCCGAGCGGCAGCATCCCCTCTGTCAGTGGCAGACAGTGTGAGCCCATGAGAAAAAGCAGACGAGGCCACCCCTAATTGCATGCAAAATTGGATCAGGGAGAGGCGCATTACCTATTCGAAGTTGAATCTGGCGGCTCCATCTCAGTATGCCCACGGGCTCCCCTCACAACCTATCGATTCCGCAAGCGAAAACAGAGGAAACGAGCTGAGATCTACGGGTCCGAGAGAGGAGCGGGAGGGCGACTAGGGTTTGAATTCACTCACCATTTTCTGAGGCCGAAAGCTCCGCCGCCGTTGAGAACAAGGGCTCCGCCGTCGCCACCGAGAACGCAAGATCCGCCGCCACCGGAGAAGAAGGGGGGCAGAGTGGCGGGCCCGGCACGGTCGGGCGGTAGGGCACGATCAGCTGTTTTGACGAACAATTAAGTTGGACCCACATGTCCTAACATAAACGGGCGGGCTTGGTTGACGACCAATTTAACGCCATTTAACAGCCATGTCGTGCGTGGGCTATTTACCTGCTCAAAACTGTCGCACCACAGCCATTCCCTCGAACAACGTCGCACTCTTACCAATTCACCTCAAATGTGTCGCATAGGAGCTATTGGCCCTATTGGTTGTACGTTGTATCGTGCTGCACAGTTAATTGGTACGTACCGTTGTAGAGGACTGGCGCCACATGTAGGGTTTGCAAGCGTTAGTTTTCCTTGTAGAGTTCTGGATCGTGAGCTGATGATTGATCCATGGTGCAAGGTGCATGCGGCATATTCTTCACTAGCCTTGTGCATGCATGGCATCTCTGGCTTGTTTATATGCTTCATCGTTCAGCACAAAACTACGTACTGATGAAACAACCGTGGTAAATTACACAACAGATGTGTATACGGAAAATATGGCCGGAGCCTAACGTCGTAAGGAATTTGCAAAGAAATTACTAGAAGAAACACAAACAGTGGCAGGGGTGTAAATTTTTCCCCAGAATACTGCCGGAGGTATTTAATTTGTTGTTTGTTATTTTAGATACTGGCTGGAGGTATTATTTTCTCCTAAAGGCAAAAGGCTATATATTAAATAGCATAAGCTGTTACAATAATAGCCTTATAAAAATTAAAAAATGCATTCAAGTCTTTCAGGCGTTGGAGTCTTCTTCCTTCGGCATCCCTCGACGTTACGTCACGAACAAAGCTCGTTACCACCTCTGGGCCTTGCATGGCTGAAGGTATTGAACCAACCTAGTATTAATATATATTTTTAATATTTTATTGTACTTTCTTTCCTTTTGACTCGACGATTCTCCACGTGGTTGCCGTGGTGCCCACCATGGGAAACGCGGGATGATCGTCTGTTATTTTAGACAAGATGATCGTTTGGTGGCAATGGAGAGGCGGATAGTAAAAGAAAATAGAGACATGAGGCTGGTCATAGTGGGGAGTAACTTAGACTAGTGTCATATGCATGACACTAGTCTAAGTTATTACCTTCATAGTGCAAAGTAACATAGTACTAGTGTCATATGTAGCTTCATTTAATAGCTTGTAGACTCATGTTGTCTTGAAAAGCGCTATGTTACAATAACATATTATGTTACTACTTCTCATTAACTACTTGCCACATAAGCAAAAAAAATTCGAGGTGCGCTATGTTACTACCTAAGTTACTCCCACTATGACTAGCCTGAGAGCATGTCTAACGCGGCACTTAAACACAGGCACCAGGGTCTAAATCCTGGCCAATTAGCGGTTGCTTTCTTTAATCCTGGTGCCAGGTGAAGCGTCAACGCAAAAGCGTGCATCGAGCGCCAGGCACTTTTTCTTCCCGGGCTGTTTGATTAGCCCATGTAATTAGCATCTGTCGTTGTAAGCCCGGGCGCTTAGATGACTTTTTAATTTTTTTAATCTTTTTTTTTTCATTAGCGTGTATACAAGCGACTCCCATTGAAGATGCCCTGAGAGGCGGAGAGTAGGGTTTTTTTTTTGAGCAAAACAATCTGAGCTCATAGCCGGGAGGCTCAACCAACTAGACATAGTGTCCTGGTGCAAGGGCTAGAGAATTCACTATGGGCATCCATAGCATCACGTCGTTCATGACAGAAAGAAATGTTTCCTACAACAGTCATCAAGGTTTTGATTTCTTTGATGATAGAAGCATTCGGAGCACTGCTTTTTTTTTCTTAAAACGAAGACACAAGAAGCGTCCGGCTTTAACTTAACAAAGCCCTCGAACAGGCAGCATTCAACATACAACCAAGTCTTAAACAGGATAAAAAAAGAAGGGGCCGAAGCCAAAGTTTAACATGCAACCGGCCTAGGCCTGAGATAAAAGGCAAAAGATAACACAAGCCAACGCCAGCACTGGGAGAGGAGCGATCTTCAGCTACTAGTGGCGAGCCGTAGTCTGGATCAGTCGAATCCGCTCCATCGCCTTCTGCATCCGCTCGGTGTCACGCCATTTCCCTAACGGCATCCAAGTCTGGAGGAACATATGGCATTTGAAAACAATGTCAGCGAGGTGAGAGGGAAATTTATGCTCAATGGTGATTTTGTTCCTAGTTGTCCATAGAGCCCATAGCAGCGCCCCTACGCATCTCCAAAGAACTCTACCGAACCCTCCCCTATGAGCCAAAAGAATGTCGCGTAGGTCACTACTCGAGTGAGGGTTCCAATTTTGGTCAAAAGCCTCCCGAACCGCACTCCAAGCGAAATGGGCGAGATGGCAATTGAAGAAGATATGGTTTGCATCCTCATGCACGCCACACATCACACAATTGCCATCGGACGGCCCATTCCGTTTTGCTATATTGTTAGAGGACGGGAGTCAGTCGCGGAACATTTGTCACAGGAACACTTTCCATAGCCCCCTAGCTATGTCTAGTGCCAGCCCCGACGTCAGTTTATTGTACATAGACTTCACCGAAATTTTCCGCGAGCTCATGAGGGACCAAGAGACCACGTCAGCCTCGGGGCGCAACAGCACTACTGCTAGGGCACCACGAAGCTCGTCCCAGCCAGCTCGTTCGGCGTCGGAGAGAGGCCTTTTGAATGTTATGGCTGGCGGGGTGGTTCTAAGCGCATCCGCAACAAGGATATCAATGTTGGTGGCTAGTTGGTACAAGGAGGTGTGGCTATGCCACAATGGCTCCTGACCGAACCAGTGATCGAGCCAAAACCGGGTGGATCTGCCATTGTTAACGCATAGCTTTGCACCGAGCGCGAAGGCCGGTTTGACAGCCTGGATCCCATTCCAGAATGTCACCCCTTTGGTTGTGGAGGTGAGGAAATTCCCATCGGGGAAGTATTTTGCTCGAAGGATATCCACCTAGAGCCCCTGCTCATTTTGGGCAAGTTTCCAGAGCCACTTTGTGAGAAGAGCTACGTTCATGAGCTTGGACTTTATAATCCCAAGGCCACCATATTTCTTAGGCCTACAAATCGCAGCCCACTTAACTAAGTGGTATTTCTTTTTGGATCCGGTTCCTTCCCAAAAAAACTTGGATCGGGGGGTGTCGAGCTTGGTGTGGGCGCCGTCTGCTAGGAGGAACATGCCCATGGTAAGCATGGGGAGTGAGGAGAGACTAGTGTTCGTCAGGATGAGCCTAGCAGCCTGTATTTCTTGAACAAATCCAGCGCAGTCCAATGCCACAACTGTAGTATTTGCCTGAATATCTTGTGAAACATAGGCCTTCTCTGCTAGCTGTTGCTTCTATGCATGCTATGTCTATTTTTTTTTTGAGGTGGCATGCTATGTCCGCTCCCAGAAAACTCTTTCCACTGAAACTTACATGGAAGACGGCCCGAGTGCTGAATGAGGCCCAGGTAAAGACTGATAGGCCGACCATTGGGCCGCACTGGTAGGCCATTCTCGGTCCAACCTTATCCCCTGCAATTTCCCCGCTCTCCCTCACTCGCCGTGGTAAAACAATGGCGCTCCATCTCGCGCGACCGTTCCTCCCCGCCGGCCTCCCGCCGCCGCCACGCCGCCACGCTCGTGCCCAACCACATTCCCTCTCCCCCACCGCCGACGCAAGGTCCCTGTCCTTCAGGAGGCCCTACACCTGAAGGAACGGAGGGATTCACTCCAGGTCTCGCTATTCCACCGCCATCTCCTGCAAAATAGCAAGTTAGTAAATTAATGCCTAGGTAAGCATGTAAGCATGAACAAAACGATATCATTTGCATTAGCGCAAGGTTCCTCACCCGAAGGGGTAGACGGGTTGACTACTCCTGACAGCGGTCTCGCTGTTCCACCGCCATCTCCTAAAAAATGTAGACATGTTAGTCAATGCAAAGGAACTTCTAACCATGACTACATATAATTCACCCCTTCAAAAAAAATGACTACATATAATTCATCTTAAAGAAACAAATGACTACATAATTCATCCCTTGCATTAGCATAAGCAATATAGCATTCTAGTTTTCTCTTGTGCATGCGTATTTGCAATTGCAATTTGGTTTAGATACTACGGAAGTACAATTTTCTTTTGTACGTAGGGATTAAGAGTTAAGACACCATGGGTTAGGGTATTTCACCGGAGAGTATGGGCGATGACCTGATATCAGATGAAGGGAGTGAAGAGCCGCCGAGACTTGGAGCAAGAAGAACAAGCAGGAGCCCGAAGTGCACAGAGAGAATTGCTGATGAAGCCATATTGCAAGTAATTGGTACGTACGTCATAGAGGACTGGCGCCATATATAGGGTTTGCAGGCGTTAGTTTTCCTTGTAGAGTTTTGGATCGTGAGCTAATGATTGATCGATGGTGCAAGGTGCATGAGGCATATCCTTCACTAGCCTTGTGCATGCATGGCATCTCCCCCTTTGTTTGTATGCTTCTTCGTTCAGCACAAAGCTATGTACTGGTGAAACAACCAGTGGTAAATTACATAACAGATGTCCATACTGTAATGGTAAATATGGCCGGGGACTAACGCCATATAGAACTTGCAAAGAAATTACCAGAAGAAACAATGACACTGGCCGGGGTGTAAAATTTTTAGTCGGAGGTATTTAGTTGGCTTGATACTGGCTGAAGGTATTTTTTTCTCAAGAAGGCAAAAGACTATACATTAAGTAGCACAAGCTGTCACAATAATAGCCTTACAAAAATTGAAAAATACATACAACAATCTTCCTCCTCCTGCATCCCTCGACATTACGCCATGAACAAAGTTCGTTATCGCCTCTAGGCCTTTGTGTGGCTGAAGGTATTGAATCAACTTGATAAATATATTATTTGTTATGAAAAAATTTATATTCTTTGCGTTTGACTCGGCGGTTGTCCACTTGGTTGCCGTGGTGCCGACTGTAGGAAACGAGGGCTCCAGTGGCCGATGATGAATCATCTGGTTTTCTTAAAAAAAGAGGAAAAAAAAAGATGATAGTCTCATGGCAATGGAGCGGTGGAGAGATGGGAGAAAATCTACTATTCTTAAATAGTTCATCCCCACTACAAGTGATTATCTCAACATGCAGCCTTTCACCTCTACAAGCGTGCCATATCAGCATCCACTAACATTGTTTTTCATCCATGCACTCTCTCACCTCACCGAGTCATGCATGTCTGCCACATCATAATTAGTCACGTATTATGCATGTCATACATCTTAAACAAACTCATGTCATTAGCATGTCCTCTTATTCATGTGGTAAGAAAAAATGACTAAAATAGGTTATAGACATTCATCGTGAGGATGTACTATTAAAGAGTAAAAAAATGAATTGAAGAAGGCATTACATGGATACAAGTATTGGCTGGTGTGTTGTCTATTATTAAATACTAAAGCATTTTTTTCTTGAAAACTCTACAATGCTACAAGACTTTTTAAATATAAATTTATTGAAATGAAAAAAAGGAAAATACCAGATATTAATCTGACAGTCTGACTTGAGATGTTTTTTATTCAAAAATAATTTAATTATTTTAAAATTTTCTGAAACTGTTGAGTTGCTAACTCAAAAAATAAATGTTAGGATGCAGTAATAGTATTCCACAGCAACAAGCGCGGAATCATATAATATTCCTAAATAGTTTATCATCGCTAACTCTAATTCTCTCAACATGTGGCCTTCCATCTCACCAACTGTGCCATGTCAACATAAGCTAACACTATTTTACAGCCCCATGCAAACCACATTCATACTCTTTGTTTACACACGGTGCAAGTATGAAACATTTCTACATTAAAAAAAGTAGCTTTTGATAAATAATTTTCTTCATATCTGGAAATTAACCTTTAAATTCCCGCCGCAACGCGCTGGGAAATCACCTAGTTTGACGGTCCGAGTGGTGAATGAGGCCTAGGTAAAGACTGATAGGCCGACTACTGGGCCGAACTGGTGGGCCATGTTCGGTCCAACCTTATCCCCTGCAATTTCCCCGCTCTCCCCTCACTCGCCATGGTAAAACAATGGCGCTCCATCTCGCGCGACCGTTCCACCCCGCCGGCCTCCCGCCGCCGCCGCGCCGCCGCGCTCGCGCCCGACCACATTCCCTCCGCCCCACCGCCGAAGCGCGGCCCCCGTGCTTCAGGAGGCCCTACACGTCCGTCCTGGTGGTCCCCACGGGGGTCGGCGCCGCCGTCGGGGGCTTCGCCGGCGACGCCCTCCCCGTGGCGCGCGCCCTCGCCGCCGTCTCCGACTGCGTCATCTCCCACCCCAACGTAAGTTCAGGCCCTTCCCACACCCTGCCATCGCTCCTCCGCCGGAGCTCCACTGCTCAAAGTCTGATGCTTTTTGCTTCCACTCCCCACCCCACCCTAGGTGCTCAACGCCGCGATGCTTTACTGGCCGATGCCCAACACGCTCTACGTGGAGGGATACGCCCTCGACCAGTTCGCCGAGGGCGCCTGGGCTCTCCAGCCAGTTCACCAGAACAAGGTCAGTGTGAGTGGCACTGAACTACTGAACACTGAACTCATACACACCCACAAGAGTACAGAAACAAGGTTGATGCAACTGTGTGAGATATGAATTTCTTCGCACATTGACGCATTGTAACTCATTTAACCTAGGTAGGCTTGGTGCTGGACTCCGGGATCGAGGAAGAGCTCCAGCTCCGCCACTTGCAGGTCGCGGATGCGGCGAGGGCTTCGCTCGGCCTCCCTGTTGTAGAGTACACTGTCACGGACGCTCCTTTGGAGGTGCACATTCTGTTCTGAAAGTAGTAGCTGAGAAGGCAAACTTAATTCCTTGGTATCTGCTAATCTTCAATGTTGCTTGATGAAATACTCATGTATGGTGTAGATCAAGACATGGTTCGATCCAAAGTGTGGGAAATCAACTGGGAGCGTTGGGAACTCTGATTCTCTTTTAAGAGCGGTCGACGCGCTAGTGAACCATGCTGGCGTGAATGCTGTGGCAGTTGTTGCGCGCTTTCCAGACGATGATCCTGAAGATTCAGATTGCTATCGGGAAGGGAAGGTATTTTTTGTCTACTCAAGTAGTCGTTTATTTCCTTTTCATGATATTTACTGTCCTTGCAGTATCTTATATTTGCATTCAGCATTATTATCCTTTTGCTCATTTTTTTCTTGCTTAGAGAATTGATTTGATTTGTAAATTTATAGTTTGACTCATCTAAAATATCTCCTGCGGGTTAGAACCCTAAGACACACTCATAATGTTGGTACATATGTTCTCCATACATGTCAAAGTTGTTACCCGCTTATTTGGCTGAAATATATGCTGACTTGCTGAGGTTATATTTTGCGGGAAACACTTCCTACCTATCATGGATTTGTTTCCTAGCAAGAATTTAAATATACCTCCAACTTTCTCAGATTGTATGTGGCCATATCAATGCGTGCAGGGAGTTGATCTGTTAGCAGGAGTTGAGGCAATCATCAGTCACCTAATTGTGAAAGAATTCAAAATCCCTGCTGCCCACGCTCCGGCAGTGTTGTCCCCACCACTCAGCCCATCAGTGTCCCCAAGATCTGCTGCTGAAGAGGTATTGATGCCGTTATGCTGAATTGTTTGTGCATAATTGAGTTACATAATTACAAGTGATATGCTTAGTGATAGGCTGATGGCATAACAATGGTAGAACTCAATCACTGTAGATGGTTCCCTATTGTTATAAGCTAGTTTACCAACTTTATAGTACATATGCGAATCCCTGTTCATACTAAGGAGTAAGCAGTGCTTATTAATTTCATCTCCTGTCTTCTTGATCTTATTTTGTAACAGATTGGTTATACCTTTCTACCATGTGTGCTTGCTGGGTTAAGCAGTGCTCCTCAGTATGTGACAAGGAGGCAGGGAACCTCTGACAGTGGTTGCATAGTGGCTAATGATGTTGATAGTGTGATTCTTCCGAGAGATGCTTGTGGAGGTGATGGCGCACTTGCCTTTTCTCGAACTGCAAGAAAGAATAAGGTACACTTCTCCTGTTCATATTACTCATGATGTATCTTGCCATTTAAGTTGCATATGCAGTATATTATGTATGTAGTGTTTGGATTAGTTCATCACTGTATGCCAAAGCGATTAGTGAAGCTAATAATAGAACCCCAATGCAACCCTTTGTACTTATCAGGTCATCTAAATTTGATTTTTTTTCTTCTTTTAATTCTGCAGCCCTTAATCATTACCGTTCAGGAAAATGAGACGGTGCTTGATGACACCCCTGATAAATTCAGTATAGATGCGGTACGTAGCATATATCTGCTGTCCTTCTATATTTTCTTTCTGATATACCATGCAATCTGTATTTGAAAAATCCTTAGACAATGGACAAATGTTTTCTCTCCAGCTCAATGTCCAGAACTACTGGGAAGCTATTGGAGTTATTGCTGCTCACAAGGCAGGCATCAATCCAAATGCTCTAAGAAGACAAGGAGTTGATCATCTTAAGAGCCATCAACGATTGTATTCTGCCCGATCTTCTGGTCGCCGGCCATATGCCTCTTCTCCAATGCAAGATAAAGTATATGTACACCAGTTAGTTTGACAATTTAGTACAGGAGAGATCAGTTTTAACAAATAGGAGCGTGCAAATTTTGAAGTCCCAGGTACATATTCCACAACAATCGTAGCATACATATATAAAATTTATCTCGTCATCACCCGTGACATACACGCACACACACGCAGTGATGCATGTGTACTCGAAGCCATTTTCAGAACAAATAATTGTTTCAGTTTCTGAGACGGGGTGGTGCGATGCTCTCCTTCCACCACACAAGTGTTATGCTGATTTCTGAGAGCATTTATGTCTTGATGTGCCATTGTGCGCTTTCAAATCGTCGGTTCTCTGATGTTGCTGTCTGGCGTTGAGTGACATATGCATCTACTCAGAATACACATGTTTGCCAGAGTGAGTAGGTGCTGCTTTTGCTTGCTTGCTCCAACTACCAATCAAACTGGACATTCAACTTTTGATGAGGTGCAGCTTATGACTTGCTGTTTGCCAGATGCATGTTTGTTTATGCTAGGTTGTTGTGTTGACATTGGTGCATATCTACCTGATTTGTACTTCACAAGCAGATTTTGTGGCTGTAAATAGTAGTAAGATCTTCTTTCAGCAAATTTTTTTGTCATTACCATACCTTATGCTTTTCAGTGGTTATATATATCCTCTTTCTGGGTTCTAGAAGTTTCAAGTTAGATGATGGGTTGGTGGCAGCCCTTCCTGAAGTTCCTTCAACCTTTGTTAGAACAGCTGGTATCAGGAAGAACAACCTGACTCTCAGAAAAACAAGACCCATGAGTACAGCAGCTGCTATTTTCAGTAGTTAATTTACTCCGGACTTTGATTTACTACTGGGTACTTAATTTGTCAAGGTCAAAAAGCTATCAGGATGAACAACCTCCCTTGTGAGGATTACTTTGGTATGACAGGATGTATAGGGTGTATTGTTTGGGGAAAAGGATCTGCGGGTTTATACCCGAATTGGCTGCACCAATCTCCGGGAAGACACGAACGGTGGATCCTTACCCGGTACATATCCTTGCCTTTAGATTTACATTTTCCCTAGTACAACACAACCGAACTATCTTGAATGCCTGCACTGAGACGTCTAAAGATTAGAAGGTCGTTCTATGATCGCGATGGAGGGTCCATTTCAGCTCCTCTCTGAATTTCTTTCGGCAGGCATACATGCTCGGCTCAATCGCTTTAAAATGTAGTCATTATGAGTTTTTCAAAGTGCCTGACACTGGAATGTTCAACTCTAGTTAGAACAGATCCTGAAGATGTAGTTTAAATTGGTGAATCGAATCATGAACAGGTGCCCATCCCAGGTAGAGGTAATTCTAGTTTAATATAGTGAAATGAAATCAGAAAAAAAAACATGGTCTCTTGTTTCATGTTTCTGTTGGGCACAAATTTCAGTCCACCAACTTCGATGCCTTGACCTCCTAATATGCAAAACAAAACACTTTTTGTCACTCTTCAACCTTGAAAGTGGTTCAACGGATGCATGGTGTTTTTTTTTTGCCCTTGATTGACACACAGTCACTCGTGTGAGCATCTCTATAGCAACAACCCTTGTTTATTTTTTTTGAATTGTTTGGATTGCTTACCACATGTGTCATGTGGTAGCAATAACCCTTGTTGGCAACACATGCATACTGGAGGCAAAAGGGAGCGTAGGTGATTGAGATGGGGAAGGTATGTGATGCACCTAGCCTTGTGGTACTACCGGTGCACTGGACTCTCAAATGTCAAACTACAAGTTTCAGAAAAATCTCAAAATAATTTAGTGTGCACAATAACATATATTAACCACGTCACAGCTTGAGAAACAAAATAAAAATACAACATTGATTGTGTAAATGGGCCAAATTCAGGACCCAATCTGAAATGGGTACTATTCATAACATGATTTGACTTTTTTGTTTCTATATTTTTAGTTCTGATTTGAATCTGAAATTTTAGGACCCGGTAGATATATGTTTCTTGTATGTGCCAAATTAGTTTTAGATTTTTCAGACTCTTATAGTGTGTATTTTCGATGACTGGTGCACCAGTAGCACCACAAGGATTGGTGCACAAGATATTCTCCTGACTGAGATGTGTGCACCAACGGAACATACCGAGTTTTGTTTGGGGGGTTAATTTCATCTATCATGAGTGCATATAGCTGGTCTACTGTACTTACACTGTTTATTTTACCAGCGAGCAAAGTAATAATCTGCCATCATTGTGAAACTCAAAGCTTCCTTTATGCACAAACCTTTCGACTCCTGACTGCGCTCAAGGAGCATGCACTACATTTTTTAATAGAAACACTAATCCAAACGATCCCAATAAAATCTCACATGCAAATGACACAAGTTTGTTTCCATTCAAATTTCTTGAAAATCACTGTTCATTGATCGCTGCAGAAAATTAACAAACCAACCACTTCTTTGAAACCAGGAAAATGCCATACTTTATATCTAGACAACAAACATAATGTTTTTAAATCACAAAAAACTTGACGATACATGACCCATTCTAATCTACATACCAGTTTTTTGTACTTTTTAAACTTCCATTTTTTTTCCTGAAATAAACGGAGCATGTGCTCCCGAGAGCACAATATCCACGTTCAAAGAGAATTGGACATAGAATTTCTACACTCGAGCTCAGATGCACCATCATGTACAGTAAAATAAAAAAAGTATAAAATCCAAAACATTCAAAATTATTTTGGCCACAAACATTGTTGAATATTGCACATATGTGCAAATTGTCGTGAATAAAAAGCATTCCTAATGTCATGTGTGAAAAAGCGAATCCGATGCTCCAATAAGACTATTTTCAAAAGCATTTTGGAGTGTTTTTATTTTATTTTGGCCTAGACCTCCACAAATGTAATTTCATCACCAAAACATACATGCATGTAGAAAACTGAACAATTTTTTGCAAAAAAATCAGAACCTTTTGAGTAGTTTTTCTATTTTCTATGATTTTACTTTTCATACCTGGAGCATCTGAGCTCGAGATTAGAAGAACACTTTCGTCCTCACATGTATCCATTTTTTTTGCAGAATGGTACTACTAGGCCCCACAAAGGGTACAGTTGCATGCACATACCACTTCCTTTTGTCAGCAAGTGTGTGTGTCTGTGCGCGTGCGCGCGCGTGTGTGTGTGTGTGTGTGTGAGTGAGAGAGAGAGAGAGAGAGAGAGAGAGAGAGAGAGAGAGAGATTTGCATGTACAATCATTCTCCTTTCTCCCTAACCAAAGCCCAACCCTGGGATATTTTTGATTGATTGATATCTTTTTGACCAAAAGTTAGATTTTGAACCCCTTTTTATATTTTAATTCTTACCAAAAAAAACTTCAGAATAAGATCAATCTTGGATACATTTGAACTAATTTTAATTTTATGTTTCAGTAATATTTGAAATGAGTTTCATATACACTGTATTATCTCAAATGAAATTGAACACATGTTTCAATTATTAAATTGATCAAGAAATGAAATTCTTTGACATAAGGAAGTTCATAAAATGTGTGAAGTTAGTCAGCCATCCCAAAATCATTGAAACTAATGTATGGAATATGTGAAGTTAATGAAACTAGAAATCAGTAACTGAAAGTCTTGTTGGAATCATTTGAAGTAATTAAAATATCTGCTATGAAATAATTGAAATAAGTGACATACTGAAATAGATCTCACTCATAAATGGACATGGATGTAATAAGACAAAAATATTTCACTTATTTCAGATATATTAAATACTTCAAAATTCTGAATGGGAATTAGCGATATAATGAACTATGTGATGTAACTTATTTCACACAAGTGAACTATTAACAAATTAGTGAAATAATGATCTGGTAAACTATTAAAATAGAGGAAAGAAGTGGCAAACTTATTTCACAATGTGAAATATTTCAAAATAAGTGAATTTGTTATATGGTGAAATAGTGATCTATCTAAAGGAGTGAAATACTTAAAATATTTTATTTCACATATGTAAACAAATTCATAATAATGAAATAGTGATCCGGCAAAAAAAACTTATTTCACATATATGAAATATTCCAAAATAAGTTAAATATTTGGTATGTTAAAATATTTCAAATAACTAAAATTGAAATAGGAACTAAAATCACTGAGATATGTGTTTTAGAGATATTTAAAAAAAGGAGATATGAAATATGTGAAAATTTTCAAATAAGTGAAAAATGCAATCTATGTAATTATTTAAAGATGGGAAACTAAAATAGGTATTGAAATTAGTATATACCTTTTTTGATAAATAAATTAAGTGAAATCTTAGTGATGTGAAATAGTTTAAATATTCCAAAAAAGTAAATTCACTAAAATGCATTTATTAAAATCATTCTAACCTTATTGATACACATTTGTCTTAAATAATGGAAACACAGGTGTGAAATAATTTGGAAATCACCCTTTTTCAAACAAATGGAATCACTGGATGGAAGTAATTGAAATCACTAGGTGGAAATAATAAAAATTATTGTTTCTCAATAGTAGAATCAACCCATTTTAGAATTTTGAGATCATTTTAATTGAAAAATGAGATAGCTAATAGTATAAATGAAATTAAGGAGACATATATTGTAAGTACTGAAATATATGACCGATGAAATATTTCATATAAGTGAAATTTAAATATGTACTGAAATTATGGAGAAGTATCTTTTAGAAATATTTCAAATATGTGAGCTATGAAATATTTCAAGTATGTTAAATTGGAAAAATGTGGTAATACTGCTAAGATATATGTTTCAAAAATATTCCAAATTAGGAAAATGATAATTAAAATTAGTGTTTCAATTATTTGCAATCTGTTTTTATAAAAAAACATATTTTAAATATGAATTCATTTTTTAATAGTTACTAATTGAAATCAATATTTCCGTTCACTTTTGATGTGTATTTTTAAATCATTTGAATTTACAGCAATACATTTTGAAAATAATTTAATGATTTAAAAAATATTTGTTAGTATTTTCCAAATTTATTTGTCAGGACCCGATTCCAAGTTT